TACCCTTCAAAATAATATACTACTTAATATTATAAATGAGTCATAAATCATAGATAATAGCTCAGAAAAGTTACCTAGTCTCCTGTTTAATATTTTTAAAAGTTAGACAACAAGCTTCCTGCTCATCGTTTTCCCGAATAAAGTTAGCACATTTTTTCCTATTCGCCTTGGTTGTTTGCTTTTGATTTTAATTTATGATCCGTGCAATTTGTGAGCTGCATTCAGGCGCATGCCCTACGGCAATATTTTCACCCATTCAAAAGTTATTATGTTTGTTGTAGGGGCTCCGGTATAAATTATCAGTGCTCCCAGTTCCTAGTGTGCCTTAGATGCCAACGGAAGAGCATTTATTTATTTTACACTTTTAAACTTCGACAGTGAGTGGAGTCTCTGGGAAGCGGCGGAGAACGATTCAATTACTGCTGCCCCAGTGAATCCATCGCACAATTCAGGGTTAGTTTAGTTCTCCGGATTCCCATTCTGGACGTGGCTCTTGCCTTTGGCCAACTCTTTGCCCGCTTTTATGTGTTGTTAACACGTGTTCAAATCATAAAGCTTTACTCGTTTTGAATATCCTTTATGGCTTGCACAGGGCGCCATTGTTATGCAATGTCTTGATAAATGGCTTTTCAGAGCCAACTCTGTGGGAGCCTCGAACGCCTCTGAACCCGCTTTACGGCGAGAGCGTGCCAAGCCCTTTGTGAGTGTCTCAGGAACACTCGTGTTTTTGCCCCCTGCCAGGGGCAGGATGAGAAACAGGAGGAGGACGAAACCGGAACCGGAGGAGGACACTGCATATTTGCATGTCAGCCCCAAATTGTACCCTCACGTGTTTGCATTCCCCAGATGTCCGCCTTTAAATGGTCTGGCTTTAGGAGTTGCAAGTCGAACCAATGGAGTTTGCAGTTCCTTTCAGAACATTTAATTAACGCTGGGAGTTCTGGTTTTGCCATTGCAAAGGTTTTACTCCCTCACCTTTTAGAATTTAACTTAGACCTTGTTCATCTGAATAATCGGTGTTACCCAAGAGTATGGTAATGTCTTCAAATCACAGCATTCTCTTCGAGTTTCTTAAACTTTAAGATAAGCAGGATATTTAATTAAGGGTAAAGGCTTTTCAAATGACTCAAGAACAGTCTGAATCTCTTTCGACACATTAACCTAATTGGGTTTTTCTATTCGTTAGCTCCCTTGGCTAATAAATTGTTTAAGGATTACATGGATACTTAAAATTGTATCCGGGCATCTTCATCTTTGGCACGACATCTTCTCCTTGCTTACCTTTTTGGCTTTGCCTGCTTCCTGGGACGCCGAAAAGGTGCTCAACTTTGTGGGCTCAAAATGGGACGAGGCCTAAGCCCCAACAACCTAAACCTTTGAAATGGATTTTTAATGTGTGAGAAGGGGGCAGACGACCCGCCCACCTGGCCATGGTTCAGCTCCTCCGTCCTCGTCGCCGAATTAGATTAAATATTTTTCGGGCGACATTTTTGGGGCGAGCATCGAGCAGGTGTAGGATCTAACTTTTGGGTTTGCTGCTGTTTGTCGTCGAGCTATTAACACCTTGGCTTATTGTTAATTAAGCCTGCTTGCTAACTGATATAATCCTTTATACCCCCGTCCTCTGGGGCCAAACTTGATTTGTCAACTCGGTTAATTACTGGTTTCGAGAGCTACTGCTAAGACATTAATGGCATTAATTAACTGATGGCTTTAGGGCTTAACCAATTCAGACACACTCAACGACTGTCGGACATGGCTACATGGGCCCAAAATTGATGGCATTTAAGCCAAAACTGAGGCTAATTAGGAGCTGATTAAATGGATTGGAAGGAAATAGGCGGCGTCATACCAAATCTCTCAGTTAAACGCTTGCTCCTAAACAGGGAAAATGTTTTCCCTCAAGTTTTAATGAAGAAAAGCCTGGTGTTTCTCTTTTTTATAATTTTGATACTAATGCCTTAATGGTAAGCTTCTGACCAAGCCATGGCTTATCCCTAGCCAAATCTCAGCTTAAATACTCACATATTCCATTTACATGATTTTGTCTGTGTGCCCAGAAGCCTCCACCTCAAAATCCAGCTCGTGTCTCGCTTTCCCCTGACATCTCTCGGCGGAAAGAAAATATGACAAACACAAAGTGCTCCCGAGCATGAGCTGAGAAAAAACAGAATGTCATAAAAATACACACACTTGTGCCGGGGACACATCCATACTTATACGTACATAAGCTGGGAGCTGGGAGCAATAAGACAGGTTCCATAAGCCAGATGCTATATGTTATATATGCTGGTCGGGATAATGGAGAGGCGGCGGGCGACGCGTCGGAGCAGACAGAATAAAATCACATTTTCGCAGCCAAAGCATTTATGATCCATTATGCTCTTAACTAACGGCTCCGGCTTTTGTTTTCGTCCATAAAAAAAATAGCAACGAAAATAATAGGGCGTTATGGGGGTGTGCATACAAGGTCAGATTCATCGTTATATTGAATGAATGAAAAGCAGTCTAGAATTTACAAAGAGACTTTTACAAGAGCGCTATCTTAAAGTTGTATATGTTTTTCTTATGAGTTATATACCTTGGAAAATGTTAGCTTAATCTAATAAATGGTTTTGATAGATTCATCAACATTTTCTTATGCATAACTTTTCCTAAAGTTATATTTTCTTTTTTCTGATTTCTATAAATGTAAACTTAATCTCAAAATTTATTTTAAATGTCATTACATAATTTTGCAATTTAACTTTGAAACAAAAATAAAAATCAATTGTACTAACAATATAATAATAATAATAATAATAACTATATTAGACATTTAATAAATATTTATTAATGAACTTCAATGCTGTCATTTTACTTTGTTTAATCTTTATTATATTCTTTACTTCCAGAGAATATATTTTATTTAATAATATTATTATAAAATTCCTTTTACATTTTCATACGTCTTCATTGATTGATTCCTTTTTTCCAAACAAATTAGTAAAATATGAATACTTTCCATTGATCCCTTTGAAACCCCATTCAAGGACTTTAAATTATATTTCCTCCTCGTCCGATAGGGTTATTTCAAATATATGTCATCCGGAAGCTACACATTCCACATTGGACATCCGCAGTGTGGCGGTGCATTGAAGATGTCAGGCATTCCGGGCGAGATATTTGTCACATGGCAGGAACGAGAGCTGGTCTGGTGTGGCATGGTGGGCTAAATAAATAAAATAGCTGGGTTGCAACGCATACGTATTTGATCAAATTGCAGTCACTTGTCCGCACGGGTGTGTTGGGTTGTCTGGTCTGGCAGTGTGCGGGTTTATTGTTGACACATTTTTAAGATGTACCCTGAAATATGAATACCAAATATGAATGCCAGATGCGAAGGCACTAGAGAATGTACAAAACACGTGGAGGCGAAAGTGGAGATGGATGGGCAGAGTGGTTGATGACACGGCAAGGATATGGATGACATGAAGGTGGCTGTGGGTGTGACACTTGAGAACAAAAAACGCTTAAGTGGTTCAATGTCTAGGGCCAGAGGAGCCCGTCATCCCTGACACCCGTTGTCTCCACGCTGACGTTGATTGTTGAGCGATAAGAGCGTTGCCCTAATGACACTCTGGCCCCGACTGGGGGAGGATGTCCTTCAGTTGATGGCCCCATAATCGGCTGAGTGGAGAGCACATTAATGCATCAGATTATTATGACTGCATATATATATTTATACGGCACTGTCGGGGCCGATTTATCTTTAATTCATGCCCTGCCATGACCACCCGCCGCACACAACCGCATTAATCATTTAATTGTGACCGCGAAATCCCTACCATATTAACAATCAATTAATGCAATTCGAATAGTTTTTTTCATCCCGCTATCGGTTTCTATATGGGCACCATATGTTATTAATACTACTTAATCCGATTTGAACAAAAGTAAATCAGGAAATAATAAAAAAAGAGCTCATAGATTAAAATATGTTTTTATTCATTAATCCTAATTCAATTAATCTGCCTTAATGTGGTGAAAAAGTTTCAATTTCACATAACTTAAACAAAAAAAAATATTTTATCACAAAAGCACATGTAAATTTGTTATGAGATTATAGGAAAAAGTGTATACTCTATTTATATTTACACAATGCTGAATCGCATGAATTGTATTGAAGTTCCGCCAATTATTCAGACCATGTGATGCAATTATTCAAGTGTTATGACCACTAATTGTCCGTTTTGCCAACGCTTCAATGGACTTTAAAATGTCAATTGTGTGGAAATTGCTAAATGACAAAACACAAAAAGGCATAGAGTAGTGAAAGGCACAGAAAAAAGTATAAATGAGCAATGAGTATATACAGTATTTAAAAAACAATAAATCGCAATGAAAAACACATGTAAAGAGATAACTAGCTGTGAATTAGAAGAGCAATTTCACACAAAAAAATGTACAAATATTCCCATTTTAATGGCATGCATTCTTGCAGATTTTAATTAAATCACTAATTACGCGAACACAAGTTTGCATTATTAGACGACCACCGCAGTGTTAATTCCGTTCAAATATGCTGAAATTAATTAAATTGAACTTCATACTTGATAGGGACAGTGCAATATTCACCGTATTATGTATATTTACATATAAACATATGTACCAGCTAAATAATTGATGCGAACTGAACAATTTCATGTTGTTTTCCACATCAAAGCATATGAAGCCGCACATTCCATGAATTTTATTACGTTAGGCAGCAGTTTTTATGTTGAAGTTAATGAAATTAGCATTAGCTGGGATAATTAGTATGCTTGGAATTACTGATGATATATGTAGGTTTCTTATTTATTTAGATTACAAAACATGGATGTATTATTTTTTATTAAGTTTAAGAGTACTAATTAGGGTTACTTCCAATCCAAGTCAAAGTCTTAGTATACAGTTACTAAGTTCAAGTAATAGGTTAAAGTTCAGTGAGTAAAATTTCTGCTAACAACTCATCTAGAGCAACCTGTTCTTTTCCATTCACATTTCTATTCTCAAGCCCCATACAGTCAGACATTTTTAAAGATTCAGCCATACAAGTCATTCCACACACACTGCCTTAGCAGCTTAAAATTCAAGTATATCCTAAGATTTTCAAAATACCATGTTTATCCGAGGTGATGCAACGCGCGGTGCTCGTGGTACGGGTACCATTCCCCAGGTGCCCAGCTCGATGACCCCCTATGTGGCTGCGGTGAAACGTGGTCCCTACACGATGACTAATCCCGTTTATAACAATCCAAATCCCAACTTGGTGGCATTCGATGGCCAGGTGGCTGAAACTACGCAGAAGCACACCTTTAATATCAAGAAGCAGACTCTAAAGAGCAACTATCGCCATCACCAGCGTCTAATCCCGGTGGCCATAGGCAAGCAGTCCCTGTCGAAGGCTCGTTCCAATCTGGTGACAAATCAACAACGGGAGCTGTACCGCCAGCACCGGGAGCGGATGAGTCAAGTCAAGGGTAAGGTGAACACCTGCCTGCCCCCGCCAAAGGTCGTGATCGAGGGGAATGGGATGGAACTATCCTACATGGAGATGCTGACCGCTCTCTACAAGAAGAGCAACAATACGCTGCGCACCTTCACGAAGTCACCGGAACGCCTGGCGGGTGGCAGGTGGCGCAATGCCACCTTGGCCCGGAACAAGGAGCAGCGGCAGCTGGAGAACAACAAGAAGTTCCACAAGGGCGGCGAACTCTTCGATACAATGGCTGCAAAGTCGAAGAAATCCGAAGATTCATTTAGCTACGAGATCCCGATGCACGTCCTCCATCGCTACGAGAATCTGATGGATCAATGCGATGTGAGTGTTTTATGCAAGCTGCTGCGCCCACAGATCTATCTGGACATTGATGTGCCGGACTGTCGCCTGCAAGGTCGGCTTTCCATCCAGCTCTTCACCGAGGCCTGTCCTCAGATCGTCCTGGAGTTCATGCGGGTCTGCACACGCAAGCGTACCCGTTCCATTGCCTTTACCCGCGCCCTGTCACCCATCTGGCTGGAGGGCAAGATTGAGATGAGCCCGGAGCGGAACAAGGGTCTAACCAGCATCGAGCATGACTTCGAGACGCTTAACCATGGCGTGGATGCTGGTATCCTTTCGTTCCCCAGTCGCTATGTTCGTGCCTCAGCCGGCTCTGCGGTGAACTTCACCATTAGTTTCAAGCCACTGTCAACTCTAAATGGTCGCAGGATTGCCTTTGGCAAGGTGCGCAAGGGAATGCAGTTTCTGGCCAAGATTCAGGATGCCGTCGGACACTTGGCCAACGGTCACGAGAAAATTTTTCTAACAGACTGTGGCATCCTATGAACCTAAGTCAAATTAAATGTGGAGCTACATTATTGTAAATAAAATCTTTAGAAGTTCATCTACTATACATAAACAGTTCGTCACAATAAATTCAGTTTGTGAAAAAAATTAATTATTTATTTATTTTTATTATTTTTTTTTTTTAATTTATTTCTGAAACCAACCAATGTTTTAAATGCGACTAAAAATAAGACTTTCTTTAGTCTAAAATTATTTATACCCTGCAAGAGTATAAAAATAGTCTTTATCATAAGTCTAGCATACATGGCGTATACTTAACGTGAAAATCCATAATTTAAGTATACGCCATGTTTGTCTTAATAAAGAATAGTCGACAAATTAAGAAAAAGAGTTCCAGTTAAAAAACAATTTAAGAAATTAAATTAAAAGATGTAATCAAAAATTTATCATAAATAAGCGTTAAATATACGATATTTATAAATATTTTTAAATTTAATTTTTTTCTCGATATCAAAGTTTGAAAATCTCATAGCTTAGCCAAAAATGCATTAATCTGCATACTTAATTTAAAATGTAAAAAACTACAATTTTTGAGAATTTTAACGATGTAAAAATTGGCAATACATTTTTTTCTTTCCTGCACGCCTAGAAAGATCCTCCTGTTGATGCTGATCAAGAACATATATGATTTATAGGGTCACAAATGATTTCATCACTGCGTTACAATCTTCTGACTAAAATGAAAATACCCGAAAGGGTATAAAAATAGTAATAAAATGCTTTATAAATGTTCCTTGCAAATACTGTCACGTTACAGAGATTCTACCGTGCCATAGCTTTAGGTATTTATTTCAGTTTCAAATTTAAAGCAGTTGAAGCAACTCATCTATTCACTTCTTTATACATAAATTAAGTTCCGTAAATCAGTAAGTTTTTCGTTTACTTTGATATTACAATAGATACTAACTAAGAACGTTTTAAAGAATCGGCTCAAGATGACTTTCGTTGGCGATGGGCTTAATAGTCCTCGGAAGCAGGGCGGCATTGATAGTTCGGAGGATTCTCCGTTTCCCGACAAATATTACATGCGAAATACTCGCGTTCTGAATGTTTCGAAGGCCAACATCACAGAGTTGCCGATGGAGGTTCTAGAGACTGCACGTCAGGAGATGGTGAATATTGTGAACCTGGACGGCAACCTCTTGATCGAGTTGCCTCAGGACCTGCATATGCTGAGTGAATTCCTCACCGAGCTGGTCCTCTCCAGAAATCAGATCTGCTATGTGCCCACAAACATATCACAGTACTCAAAACTATTGATCCTGAACCTATCCGGTAATCTCCTCCGTGAGCTACCCATCGAGGTGGCTGGATTGCAGCTGCTCCGGGAGCTGGACATATCCCACAATCGCTTCGACCATCTTCCACGGTGCATCTACGAGCTGCAGAGCCTGTCCAAGCTGTTGGCGCATGACAACCGCATCAAGAGCATCGATGCCAGTGACCAGGGACTGGGCGCCATGACAAGCCTGGAAACCCTGAATTTGAACAACAACGACATCGAAATGGTGCCGCCCCTCCTGGGTAATCTGACCAATATCAAGCAGTTGGATCTGTGGGGCAATACCTTCCGCCTGCCGCGGCACCAGGTCCTGGTGATGGGAACAACGGCTGTGCTGGCCTACTTGCGTACTCGCATTCCCACATAAATCGAAGCAATTATAGTATTGCCATAATTCAATTCAGCGCAAATTCAAATCAAATTTTTAAGTATTGACAAATAAACAACAGCCGCAGGCTTTTTACTTTTCAACGAAATCCGATTGGTATTATTTTATTTTGAATAGAGAAGGAAAATAGAAACCGTATACTGCTAAATGATTTTAAATTTGAGTTTAACTTTTATTATTCGTTAAATTTTTTATATAACGGACCACGGAAATTCTAAAACAATAAAAATGTAGTTGTCCCTCGACGATGTGACATTGAAAATAGAATGTATAACTAGTTGGCGATGAAATAATCGTATAAGCACAAGCAGAACTCATATTTATTTGGCCTTGGCTAAAGGCATAGTTTTTCCAAGACATTGACAATGTCGAAAATTTCAAGAACATCGGAGTCCAAAGACGAACAACCTAAACAAGCGCCTGCTGGCGCAAAGAAAACCGCTGCGTAAGTAGTTCAATTCCAACTTAAGAAGTTTGCTTATTTCATGGAATTGTACAGTCGGGACAGATCCTACGATGATGATGCATTCATTAAATTCTTCGAACACCGCGGTGGTCGAGACATAATAATTATGGATAACAATGGCGTTCCTTTACGTTCGACCTCCAGCCATAGGCGTACCGTATTTCTTGTTGGCAATCTGAAGCCCCTATTGAATATGGCCCGGAATGTGGTCAGGGATCTGGATCCCTCCAATGATATTACATTCATGCGCATTCGATCCAATGTCGGCGAGGTACACATGACTCTGGGATCGGACTTCATTTTGATAGTCGTGCAAAGGTTCCGAAAGACACAAAAAAAAGCCGTAGAATGATTTGGAAACCAGGAGAAGATTAATTAACCTGTATTTAGCTTTATATCGTTCCACTAAACATTAAATTGCAGCAATTATGGCAAATGAATCGTGGCTGAAATTGATTTTGCGAGCTAATTGGTAACGTGAGAATGTCCTGGCAATGCCACGCAAATCCTGTCTGTATTTGCAGCAATTACAGAACCGGAAAATGCGTTGAAGCGCCAATTAGCGCCACATACGGTTATGCATTTCGCTTGGCAGTTGATTTTCGGAAAACTGCGAAGCCCTCAATTGAGTTCGGGTTTCTCTCATTAATCTTCGCAGATCTTTTGAATTAGTGCTGGTCCTTGCATCATCAGTAAACCCCAATTTCCTTGTCTGTTGCTCTGACAAAAAGAACGAAAATAAGTGAGCTCCTTAAGCTCATTAAACATGCATCTTGATGAATTGCTAGTTTTGTTATCACGTTAAATATTTCCTATTATTATTTTTGTTTAAGTCTTAGGGTAAATAATAAAGCAAGGATTAGCTTGACTCAGCTTAAAATGTAGTAATTTTTTAATCGAAATTCATAGATATTTTTATATGACAATTTCTTCGAAATATCAAAGTTTTAAATGTTCATAACTAAGCCAAAAAAAATCGAATAATTGTTTTATGTTAGTTTTTATCAGGTTAAAAAATCTGCATACTTGGACTAAAATTTTTAATTCAATTCTAACCTTCTAAAAATTCTAAAATGTTGAAAAAATTAAACCTTTGCCAGACATAGCTAGATCGATTCGGCTGTTAATGCTGATCCAGAATATATATAATTAAAGGGTCGGAAATAACTCCTTCGCAGCGAAACGAGCCTTTGACTAAAAACATATGATATTGTTAGTGAAATACTTTTATATAATTTAATAATGAAAAAATAAACAAAGTGAATGCAACACTCTAGGAATCTGGTACAATAACAATGTAAAAGCATTGTTTAAACTGTATTAATTACATGTTCCCAAACACTTTGTTTAAACTTTAGGCAAACAATACAATTTAAACACAGCATGAAATGTATGCTTTTGCTAAATTTGTTTTAAAATATTTATTTTCAAAATACTTCTGAACAAATTAACTTTTTTTTACTTTGATTTTAAACACCACACTGAAGTAATCCAATATTTTGCTGATGTCGCTAAGAGATTTTCCATCGACAAGTGGCTAATGGCGGCCTAATTTTCCCGGAGACCCCAACATATGTCGCAAGCAGTTTATCCAAATTATTATACCCCCGATAAGTGTTTGCAATGGCAAGGACATTTTCCCGTGGGGCTGAAAATGGCAAAGACACACAATGACTTTATGTTTATTTTACGGCCTATTGTGCGGTGAATTTTTTGGCATTGTTTTAATTTCAAATTGCGAGTATTTATTCAACCTGTTGTAGGGCCAAGGGCCAGGACATGCACGGGGACATTTGTCCAGGGGCCCTATCTACGTACATATGTATGTATATGTTTTGTCGCCATTTAAGCTCCCAGGATACCTATGCGCCGTTGTGTTGGTGTTTGTGTTATATATATATCTTTTTGCTCTGTTTGGTGTTACATTATTCAATGCGGTGCAAATATTTATGGTTTGTCTCTCTCCCTGAATGTTAAATCCCTTAAACGCAAATGCGTGCTTCTGCAAAAAGCAAACACTAAATAAAGTTGGCTTTGGCGAATGGGTTCTGTGTGAATTAAATCTAGGAGAGAGAGTTACGCGATCGGATTAAGGACCAGCCACAGTTCGATTCGCATCCATCATATTTTTAAAAAGGCTACCAAGGAGCAAATTGTGACATCCCTCAACGTGATTAAGTGACCAAGCGGGCACGACACATGTTGACATTTAATTTATTCGATTCGAAACGATTCGATTGGGTTCGATCACAGGCAAGTGCAGCATACGGTAGCAGTGCATTGACTTTCAATGAATATTCGAGAGTTATTAATAATGTAAGAGCGGGGAATTTACATTGCAGCCACTCTGAAGAATGAGCGACTGCCGTTTTAATTACCAACTTAATTTAAAGTGTTCGTTTCGTTCCTTAAATTATGGAAATACCCAATACTCTGGTATTGGAGAATCCTCAATTTGGCCCAAAGGCTTCAGATTCCAATATTGCGTCGTCGTCTGGCGGGCGATGAATCGTAAAATTGCGTACAAGCGAATATAATTCCGTCTGTTACGGGAAAGCTTAAGGGCTATTTGGCCAGACGACGCCGATGCCACTTTAACATTATCAAAATGGCTGCTGGGCAATGGTAAAAACACCCATTTGCATACCACATTCTCATCCTGAGAGGGGGGTGCAGGTACTTCCCCTGTAATATTGACCAAAACCAAACGCTCATTACGCGGCATAACAACCTGCATACAACTACCGATGTTCATTTGCCTGCCGGGCAAAAGCCGATTACAAACTGTATTTATTTATGGTGTGGGCAAAAAGTCAAACCTTTGTAATGATGGCATATAATTAAAAATGTGAATATGTGGTCTGTAGATCGAATTAGCAAGTCCCATTAAGGGCTTCAATTGTACTATACGGTATAGAATGTGCATTATTTTAAATTTGTAGGACAAAATGAAACAATATTTAGGGATTTTAGTTAGCAATCGAGGAAACCTTTATGAGTAAGATAGATTCAAATTGGATAATTTACTTTATGGCTTATTAAGAAACTTAGTCTAAATTTTCAATCTTTCATAGAGTATCTACCCTTGAAATAAATGATCTGATGAGTAAACCCCCCTGTAAAGTTTCTCCTTTTCCTTCTTCAGACCAAGTCCTCAACCTTATTCCATGTTCTTTTCGGACAACAAACATTCACATGAGTAATGGTCTTCCCCTTTGCCGCATTTGCGGACATTCATCATGCCAGCCAATCCTGACATGTGTTGCCCTTAATTAGTTTCGTTTCAGACCTTTTCAGGCAATGTTGTTGCAGGAGATTAAAAATTATATGGAGTGCGGAAAAACGAGAAGCGAAAAAACGTGGACCCCACATTTATGGAAGCGCTCTCATCACTCGTCACTTGGTTTTCTGACATTCAATAAAATATATATTTGCACATCGGACACTGATTGGGTTACTTGTCCAATTGGTCAGTGGAAATCAAATCAGTCATGGTGCGACAGAACTATACAGCGCCAAATGCAATATTAATTGAATGCATAAATTTAAGATTCCAGAGAAACGATGCTGTGTGCTGATGGCAATTAAAAAATATGTATTTATATTGACAGCCTGAAAATTATTACGCGGAATGTCCGCTGGTATAAAACTATTTCCATTGTTTGCTGATGCTCAAATGTATGGGTATGCGGCATTGTTTCCCCCAAACAAAAGCCGCCAGTGCACTGGCTTTAAGGCATTTTTCATTTTAATTACTTTCCAATTAAGCCTCAATTAAACGAGATCCTTGAGCCTCCTTCAGTAACTTAAGGCCCCGACAATTAAGAGGATATCACCAATCAAATCCAGCGACACCATTAGGACCAAAAGAGGGGGATCTGAAGTGGAGAGCATGCAATCTGCCGATTTAATTAATGAAAACATATATCGAATATGTCGTGAGTTAATAACATAAGGCCGTGGCAAAAGGGGAATATGACTTCCGGTTCACAGGCATTAATTAACTTTAACTTTCGGTTGTCGGCGCAATAATCTCTCTCCTCACACACACAGTTCCTGGCAAAAGCAGAATATACTCCGAAAAAAGCGCCAAGAGCTTTCCTTTAATTACAGTGCAGTGGCTTAAAGAGAAACATCACCGACACCGCCATCGAAATAAGGCCTTTCCACCTGCATTTCCACCCACTCCACACCACTCGCCGCCAAAGGCTCGGAAAAGTAAACCAGCACAGGAAACTCTGCTTATTTCGTACTTGAAAACTAACATGGGCCTGGGAAAAACCAGAACACCCCGCAGCCAAAGATAACTTTGTGCAATGTGTTTGTCGTTGTGGTTGACGCTTTTCCAAGCCAAAAGCCTATGTAGTTGCCATCCTTCAAGTCCAACATGGCAGCGGAAATTTTGGAATAATTATATCAGGGAAATTATCCCGAGTGCATTTTCGGGAAAGAAAAGTTTGTAACTAAGAAAGAAATGTTGCATGTTGAAGTATATGTTAAGGGAAGATGAATACTAAACGGGGAAATTTAAATAAAATCATGGTATAATGGTTATTATTATTAAATTATAATTGTAGCCAAAGTATTTTTCTTTTTTTTCTGCATTTAAAAATCCTAAAAAG